AAAAGATACGGAAGAGGTCATTAAAGAGATTACTTATATTGGAAAAGAACTTGGCTTCGCTGAGACTGACGATGAAAATGTGCAAGAACTGCTAGAAGCTCATTCAGAAGAACTAACCAATAAGGATCTTATAAATTTGGACACTCAGAGAGCATATGAAGATATTGATGAATGTGAAGAAATCTTACCTACCCGCCAGCATAAGAAGATGACGAAGGATAAATTAAAAGAACGTTTCACGGTTATTGGAGAACTTAAGGGAAAATGTTTAGAAACAGATCCTGATGAAGATAGAAGCCGTCAAATTTGCAGAAAAATTTATGAGGCAATTTCTCAGTACTGCCAATTATATGAAGAACAAAAGAATACGATGCGACAAGCCACTCTAAATAAGTTTTTCATAAAATAATCAGATCAATAAATTTTAATTCTTTGCATTTTTTTTGTATTTTCTAATATACCTATACTTTGATTAAAAAATATACAAAATAGAAATTAATTGTGAATGAGAATGAAAACTGAGGTACGAATTACATGATTTCCTATAAGTTATTATATTCGATTAGTGCGCCTCTTTTAAAGAACACATTAACCGCACTAATTGAGGGATTCCTTTATATGAAACTAATGTTACTGTTTTTATCCCAAATAGAACAAACAACCACAGAACATGTATGACTATCTTTCATAACAATATCTTTTGTTAACAAAAGTAAAGAACTTTGTTTGTTGTTAAGCACAATGCTACACAATGAGCTATCTATGCTGTACTGAAAACTGAACCAGAAGCAACGACAGATTTCATGACTGTTTTTCAGCATTTCAAAAGGTGCACATGGACATGTGGGATGGTGCATAGCCAGGCAGTGACATAACAATCTGCAAGCTACAAACCATGTCTAAGTGCAAGCCTCTTAATGTAATAATCTTGGTTTTTTTCCTACAAGTTTACACAACACTAATCTATTAAATCTACTGAATTTTTGTTGATGAAAAATAACACAACATTAGTTCCAAACGTTTATTATAGATCAGAAAAATACTAAATATAACAGTGACTATTGAGATTTCTAATAGGTACAGGTTAGTTCTGAGGTTCAAGTTTAGACATTTCTGTTTTTAAAGCATGTAAGATGTGGGTTCACTAATTGGTAATTACCAGACTTCTCTTGCAGGGAAAATGGTACTTGACATCCAGAAATAGAGTTACCTTTCCTGATAGGATAAAAGTAATGGGCAGATGCACCCTGGAACTTAAATCTCAGTGGATACAGAGCTTGAATGTTAGATGCATTTTGTCTACATAAATGTTTTGTGTATATTCGTTTTTGTAAAAAAAAGCCATGTTTGTCCCTATACGACATGATTACTTATAAAAGAAGGAATTTGGGGATATAACGAATATTTAAGGATCTTTTACACAGATATTTGTAGCAGTTATAGCTTTAAACTTTCTGAAAACATGTTTTTTATACTTGCTTGCAGAATCTAGAATGAGTAGATTTTGTTTTATTTTAAACTTTTACTTTTAATTTTCCAAAGTGAATAATGTTTGTAAGAAGGTTCACGCTGTTAAATTTAATGTTTGGATAATGTTCAAACCATTGTTTAAAGTTGAACTTACTTTAAAGCAACCACAGTAATGTTAAAAAACTTGGTATTCACTTTTAATCTGAGGTTTAAGAGAGAGTTAACATACTAATTTGATGGACAAATGTCTGGACACTCATGAACAGGTATTGTCAACCTTAATGGCAAAGTATGTGATATCTATTGCCCATCATTGCTTGAAGCTTGGAACATTCAATACACAGCCCAAAAATTTAAACCACTAGGCTAAAGTTGAACTGTATACAGAAAGACAAACCAAACGACTTACTTTCTACTGCTCAAGAAAGACTTGGGCGAATTTTAATTAGTCTACATACATT